ACGGCCAGTCGACCGGAAGGAATTTGGATGAAGCTTACTTACCTATCCAAGGCGACTGGTCCCTCCGGAGTCGGTCAGGTCGCATGTGGTTGTGTAGTGCAAGGGAAAGAATGGTGATGTGGTGTGTATCTGGGTGTGACTGATGGTGATTGAACCTAGACCTTGGCCGTCGGCAGCAGCCCGAGCGTCGACACCGTTCCAACTTGAGGGCGCCTTTCGAGGTTGTCCACAGTCACTTTCTTCTTTCGTCACGTTGACAGTCAATTAACTCTATCGTACGATTTACTAACTTACAGAAGCCACTAACTATCGCTGGGTATAATGGTTACCGCACAAACGCACGCGGAGTTTAAAGGGTCAAAGGTCACTACCGTTTCGCGTAGCAATAGTTAATTCTAGAATATCAGAGGCCGTACTAGCTAATATTGCCTATGCACTTATGCAGATTCTGAGTCAAACACAATGAGTCCCTGGGAAGCTCTCCAGCAGGAATCCGCGTCACAATGATAGACCGTATATTTACTGGCCGCGCCGAATTATTCCGAGTTCCCTAACAGAATACAGCGTGCCAATCGTTAGCACCGCTTATGGACGACTGACAGCCCTTGGGCGTTTTACGCACGACCGAATGTCAAACCGGTATGACACTGAGCCGCACGCCCTCTCGCGTTCGTTCCTTGAAAGTGTTTGGCGCGAACAAACCCCCGTCCCGGACATAAGGATTTAGGTCCGCGAGCAAACCGGTCAGCGGGACAAGGTCGCGAAGGCAAGTTGCAAGACCGAATCTACAACCAAACTAGGCCACCTTAGGCACCCCATCAGATCTTGCAACCCTAACCAGCTCCTCAAAAAATAGCCCTAATGTGGCAAGTCGGAGGGTCAGCCTCCACTGGATGCCCCTCCTGGGCATCGCAGCACTTTAACAAGTCCTGTACTGGACAGAAGTCCGACGACCTCTTTCAAAACCTATCTGTGCCCCTACGATTAGTTCCGCAATCCGACCGGATCAGGTCTGCAAACAGCGACGCGACACGAAGCGGCCCCGAGCGGCCTCCTAAGCTTTAGTGCAGAGAGCACCCACAAATTCCACATGAACGTCGTCTGTGGAGAGCCGAACGAAACGCACAGATAGTCCTTAGTATGAATTTTCAACAAGTAGGCCTAGCCAGGCCACCCACCATATTATCATTTACTAAAATAGTGCGGCAGCTGATTTCAATCTGATAATCTCCAAAACTAGCTAGCCTGTTAGACAAGTAGTCCTATGCTCATATTTCAACTATTTTTCAAAAGCATCAATGTTCAACTACAGAATTAATTCAACCAAATTAATCACCGATGCGCATAGGTCAACTTGCAAATTAAACAAAACAATAACGTAAGGGACAGCCCTACTTCTTCGCAAAGCAAAATGATTAAACACTATCTATGTATATGTTACATAATTTTTCAAATAGCGCGCCATTCAATTTCCTTTCAGCAAACAGACGCAACAATCAAATACAGTGATTAAATATATGTACAAAACACATGCAGTAGCATTTAAAGGAGTAGATTAAATTCAATTCTTTTAATTTAAACCGCTACAAATAGGAAAATTTCGCGGAAAGCCCAAAGCAATTTTTAATTTTAATTCAAGTATTTTTTTGACTAAGTGCTCGACCAAACCAAATCTAATACCCCTTGACAGCGTGATTCAACGCTCCAGAGGGGCCCTAATCTTCCCACCACCAAGGGGAGGCCACATGGCGTGAACCCGAGATCGCTAACAGTCGCCACTCGGGTTGTACGCCTTCACTGAGGCCGTCGGCAACAGAACATTTTGACATTTGGACTGTTGACGGCTTAAGGCTCAGTGTAGGTGGCCGTGGTGGGAGCTAAGGCGGCAGCTAGCCAGGGCCGCCTCCATCAAATGGTGAACAGTGGTACACCAGTCGCGGCCACTCAGCTAACGGGAGTGAGAAGGGTCCAGCGGACCGATGAGTGGCCGTGAAGTTCCTCTCCACACGCTTAGGGGGGGTGATGACACCCCCGCCCCTGGGGGAATTACCCCCCGACTGGTCGGGGGAGGGACCCCTTTCAAACTTAGGGGCCTGATGGCTGGCCGGCGGGCGCCGAGAGTCGCCCGGCAGAGGGCATGGCTGAGCGCCCCCGCCCGTGGGGGTCGAGGGCCTGGCAGAGCCCCGAGAGGAGACGCCGTTCGCACTCAGGCACAAAACGGCATGATGATTGCCCTGGCAATGCAGACAGGGCCGCCGATGTGGACAGTCTCGCTGGAGGTGTCCTCCCAGACATGACCAGCACCAGCGGCGCTCCTTGGCGATAGTTCGCCTCGCTGGAACCGGCTTACCTAATAATTTCGGGCACGACGTTACCCGATGATCAGACGCTCGACAATAGGAGCAGGGGGGGGGGGGTTGACGACGACTTGCCTGGAGGATTCAGCCTCTCACTGGGCACGTCTCGTAAGTCGTCAACGGTGCCCGCCGCGTTCTCGATCTGCCGGCACTGCTCCTCCAAAAACCGCAGCAGGTCATAGAAGGGCGGAATATAGGAGGCCTCGTCCCCGCCGTACCTCTCCTCAAAATGGATTCGAAGGTCGAGAGGTAGACGGGACAGCACGATGCGGAGCAACAAAGAAGCCCATTCGCCCACTGGTAATTCCAGCCGCCTCAACGTATTACAGGCCGCCATGACTGGATCCAACAGGTCCGGACGTAGTCTGGCCCGGTCACTAAGCAGCAGGAGGCTTAGAAGCTGCTTAACATGCTCGTCCGCAATTCGCCGGACGTTGGCGTATCTTCTGGCTAGGAGGTCCCGAGCAGTCGGGTAGGCGTCGTCCGACAATCTCAAGTGGCCGACGACGCCCAGGGCCTCCCCCTCCAGTGAGGCCAGGAGGTACATCATCTTTTGGCTCGGGGTCAAGTCACTCCGGGCGTCCACTAGGCTGTCGAAAAGACCAACGAAGGTCAGCCATTCGGAAAGGACCCCGGAGAACTTTGGCAGGTCCAGAGTTGGGAGTCGTCCCAACAGCTCCGGCTGAAGCTGCTTCAGAGAGGACTCGGACAGGTCACTCATCCGAGCTTCACGCGCCTCCTCGGCATACCTGCCTTCAGCCTCGATCAACTTGTCCGTGAGCCACAAGAACTGCTCATAGTCCGCGAAGCAGGAGTCCAGGACTCCCTTCTCCACATCCGAATCCTCGAGCTCAGCGTAAGCCTCCTCCACTGCGGCCCTTCGAGCATCCACCTGCTCGATCTGCTTCATCAAGTTATGGACCCTATCCGGTCGACCTATCAAAGCATGGGCGCTTGTGGCCCAGCGTAGCTCAGTCCGCAAACAACGGATCAGTAGCTTGGGCGATGTCATCACTATTAAATGCAATTACGACGCGGCTTGAGCACAGATTACAAAGATAACAAACAAAAAATACAACAAAAATTAACAGTTAATAAATGCAGTTCCTATCAAATCGCGTTGAATAGAAATTACACAAATATGAATTGCTACGTATCAACCAAATACAAGTTAGCACAAAAGAAAAGGCACAAATCAAATTAACAAATACCAAATACTAGTGCGATCAAATCAAGTTAAATTCAAATGGCGCAAATACCATTACTACTCTTTAGTTCAAATACAACTTACAGTATAAACGAAGATACACATCACGGTCGATCAACAAAAGATGCCTAGCTCGGAAATCGACCCTTCGATAATTAATCCACTACAACTATCCGACAACGATAATTAACCGATTACGTAAAAATAACCATCTACCTACATGACGTATATCTCTAGAAAACTCCCGCTTGCGCAACCTAGGGCGCGGCTTTTCAAATCTACCTACTAACCAAAAAAAAGGCAAGCAACAAACAACTTAGGGAAATAATTCTATTATTACGTACAAAAAATATTTTTACGTATTACGGACGGGCGTGATTGTAGATACAAATTAAACCAATCAAACCAACGCTCCCTGCCACCAGAGTTGTTTAATGTTTATCAAACACTATGGTCGGGATCGACCGGGAATCGAACCCGGAATCGCGCTCTGCTACCAGTTTGTTACGGCCAACGGCTGCTCCCTTAAAGGATCCAATCCTCAGGGGCCCATGAGCTGAAGATTTCCCGAACAGACGTAGGTCGGGCCCAAATGTGGCCACGTGGAAATTCCTAATTATATTAAAATATATGGGGGAGCGTTATACTATGGCCAGTCGACCGGAAGGAATTTGGATGAAGCTTACTTACCTATCCAAGGCGACTGGTCCCTCCGGAGTCGGTCAGGTCGCATGTGGTTGTGTAGTGCAAGGGAAAGAATGGTGATGTGGTGTGTATCTGGGTGTGACTGATGGTGATTGAACCTAGACCTTGGCCGTCGGCAGCAGCCCGAGCGTCGACACCGCTCCAACTTGAGGGCGCCTTTCGAGGTTGTCCACAGCCACTTTCTTCTTTCGTCACGTTGACAGTCAATTAACTCTATCGTACGATTTACTAACTTACAGAAGCCACTAACTATCGCTGGGTATAATGGTTACCGCACAAACGCACACGGAGTTTAAAGGGTCAAAGGTCACTACCGTTTCGCGTAGCAATAGTTAATTCTAGAATATCAGAGGCCGCACTAGCTAATATTGCCTAATGCACTTATGCAGATTCTGAGTCAAACACAATGAGTCCCTGGGAAGCTCTCCAGCAGGAATCCGCGTCACAATGATAGACCGTATATTTACTGGCCGCGCCGAATTATTCCGAGTTCCCTAACAGAATACAGCGTGCCAATCGTTAACACCGCTTATGGACGACTGACAGCCCTTGGGCGTTTTACGCACGACCGAATGTCAAACCGGTATGACACTGAGCCGCACGCCCTCTCGCGTTCGTTCCTTGAAAGTGTTTGACGCGAACATTATCATATATTCTTTATTATCATAAAGAAGAAAAAAGAAGGACCTTATATAAGCTTGATTATAAGATGAATAATGAATTTGTTTCAGAGCTAAGTCTAACGCAATATTAACGAAAGAGCCCCAACTGTCAAAGTACTTTGTAGAATGGTTCGAGAGGAACTGCCACATCGGAGGGCAAAGTGATCCCCGGAAGGAAAAATCTCTGAAGGGTCTCGAAGAGTGCTGGGGCTGTGAGGGCGAGTTTATGCTTAACTGGAAGGGAAAAGGATATAAGATGATTTTAGACGTTTTATTGGTATGTTAAATTCACAAATTTTAATTATTTCTATAAATCAAAAACTAACTTCTCTAAATCAAATTTTATATATTTCTTTGTAAAAATGCTGTTTCTCAGTTACCAAGCAACTATATAGCACATCAAGCTTAAAGTCGAACGTCCACCGCGAACTAGACTATTTGAAAACTAGGCTCAATGAATTAACCTAAGCTAACATGGAAAATCTTTGCACGTCCACCGAAAAATAAGCGAAAACAAACAACACTAAGCGAAAGGCCCCAGAGGGGTAAGGTAAGGGGGTGAGAGGCGCTTAGTTTAGTTCGCGTAGTTTCGGATCGGCCTACACAACTAAGTTAGTTCGGCTTATTTTGACAATTTTGCCTAACATAGCTGGCATAGTTTGCAGTGGACGCACATGTATGAAAAACTGGCTCAGCTATGCGAGCTAAGATAATCTAAGTTAGTTTAGTTTGCAGTGGACGTTCGGCTTAATGGTTAAAACAGTATTCAATTAGAAAACCCGACTCCGTTAAAAGTTTACTGAAAAAGAGCCATCCTATCCATCATTGTTGCAGATGCAATATAGATATATTATATTATAGCCTACTAGCTTGTTACCCGGCGCGTTGCTGCCGCATAAGAAATAATTGCGGAAATATCGTTTTAAATTTAAATAATATGGAAGAGTTATATTGTTTAATTAGGAATGATGTTACATTCATTGAAATTGAAAGTTATATATTATCTTTCAAATAAATTTGTCGGTGCGATACGCGCGCCACCTAGTAAGTTAATTGTACGATGCCTATAACCTATAAGTTCACAAAGATTTACCGCAATCTGATGAACGGTACTCGTATGGCAGCGCATAATATACGAACAAACAAAAATTATTTTTATATATTAGATGTCTCTCCCACAATTAAGAGGAATCGTACGACATCTCAAATCTAATGTTAATAACCTTCTCTGCAAATTTGGCCGGTTGTTGCAAAATAACTCTGTATATATCGTATAGTTAGCAAGTCAGAAAGTACAAAACCAGGAAACCAAGAATATAAATTAATGTTATGACTTAATTTACTAAATTACTAACATCATGTTGTATTTTAGAATAAATATCCTGATCCCGCTAAAGCAATACCGGTGCAGATATTGTTGAAAAAGGAGGTGGAGAGCATTAAATGGCGGACCAGTCAGCCCGGACTCGAACCAGGGAACCCGCTGGTGCATGTGAAATGTAAGGATGGGAGCCTATACGCAGCCAAAAGCGTCATAGTTACGGTCTCTATCGGAGTTTTGAAAGAAAGGTATGGAAAATAATCCAAATATCTACTATAAATTACCTGATACAAAGCTAAAGAAAGTTCTTTGGTTAATATTTTTGTACGAAGTACATTCTGCGCGAAAAACATACCCAGCAATACACTGTAATATAAAGTTAGTTCCAAACTGTTTCAAGTCAGTTCCTAATTTGACAAGAATTATAAAGTCTTATTGTTAGCAATAATACTTGTTAATATTTGTAAAAATCATCGAACACTAATAAAAAACTAAAAACACAATCAGTGACAAAAATGCCCTTACCGAATGAGCGCCCACTCGAACATTTGGGTGCGCCTTTAATTGGTACGTAAGTGAATACAACTTTAAGCAAAGCATTTAAGGTTGAATTTACATTAATGTATGTTTATTTCAACTACAATTACGTCAAAACTATCGGCGACAGTTTTTATAGAACTTTTGCATGGGACTGTATATCTAGATTTTTATTACTGATCGATGGTAAAACTATTTATTTTAACCACTTGTTTTAAAATATATTATATGCATACAAATAGTGCCTGTCGGGAGTTGACTTGAAACGTGTTAGAAATAAATTTTTTTCACTATATATCTAAGCAAGTGCTTGACCACAATCCCACCTGGTGGTAAGTGGTGAAGCAGCACTAGATGATAAATCGCACTGTATTAGCGTAACTAAGCCTATTCACTCTTGCCTTGAAGACGCCCATATTGTTTTCGGACGGAAATACTGACGTCAGCTAATTATTCCACTCCTTCGCAATTACATTACGAATTTATATTACAGTAAAGTGCTGAGTATGATTTACGCACACAATGTATTGCGTACGGTTTTTATTATTAAATCTTTTTAAAAAGAACTCACCACCAGCATTTGTACCAGGGTTGGAAAAAAAACAGTTTTTTTTAAAAATGAACAAAACATCATGTTTAAATCACAAAACAAAAAAAACACGTTTTAAATCAATTTTTCATAAATTTTTTATTTGAAATGTTTTAAACATGTTTTAAACAAGTATGTATTTTTTCCAGTGTTTTAAACACTTGCTTTAAACAAACGTTTTAAACATTGCCAACCCTGATTTGTACAAAGTTTCATGCGTCCGAACATTGAGTTATGGGTGTTTCTCATTTTTCGTGCACATTACACGTCCAGGAGAAAAGTCTTTATTTTTTCATTAAATATCTACATTTCTTATAAAGGAATCTAAATATAATAAGGTTATGCTTACATGCACGTAATATTTACAGATCAAAATGAAGTAATAAGTAAATTATAAGTAATAAACTTCAATAATTCTCATTTTCTTCGCCGTCCATTTATCACTCTCCTAAATAAATTTGTTTTTTAACCAAAAATATCAATATTAAATATAAAAAAATAACTATACTATGAAATTTCATTAAAAAGCACAACGTTTACACCCAAAATAAATAACGATAACTCCACGATATAATGAAATTTTATTACATAAATGTTTAACAAAAAAAAATCTGGTTACCATCGGTTTTGATGAAAATCTAAATTATAGTCGGCGTATGGCCTTGAATGTTGCAATACCGCCATACTACGCCCCGCACATGTCTCTGTCTCAGTCAGCCAGCAAACATCGTAGAAGGTTCACGCTTCTTCGTGGAAAAAAAATATTTACGTGTAAAGTATCGCAGGAGGTGATTATTTTGGAACGGTCCTCTTTTCTATCGTCATTATTATTAAGTGAGTATTAATGATTTTGTTTAATATGTAATTCATTATCAATTCTATTTTATATATTCGTAAATTAGGATAAGCATGGGATTCGTACTATTGATATTTTTAGGAAAAAAATTGGATGAAGGTTAAAACCTCATTACCTTCTTCCTCACTGCCTTCGTTTACCGTCGTTTTTTATATCGATGATAATGAGGTCAAAACGATGGCAATTAGAATATTTTTATGTCAATTTTTTTTTTACTGTGCATTTTCACTTTGCAAACCTTGTCGTCGCGGGTTCTAGTCCCACCCGTGGTTGAAATTTTCTTTCCACAATAATACTACTACAATACAGTAATAACAATACTTTAATGCATAATAAAATAAATAATGAATTGTTTTTACTTTTTTTCGTGATGTAGCTTTGTTTGTTTATACGTATACATAGTATACGTTTTATAAAATGTAAGTTAAGGATGAGCTTGATATTATGACATTATATTATGTGTTGTTACAGATTACTAAGAATTAATAATGCCAAAGAAAGCCAAACAAACATGAGAGCAGAAACGAGAGCGCGACCGATTACAGAAACAAAGAAAGTATGCAGAAATTAAGGAAGATCCTGAAAAGTATGCAGACCTGAAGGCAAAAGAAAGAGCAAGATACCTTAAAAGAAAAGAACAGAAAAAAATAAGTAGTGCAAAAGATATGACACCTAGACAATTGAGAGTTCAGAGGAAGAAATGGAGAGTCAATTCAAAACGCCATTATGAAAGAAAAAAAGAGAAAGCTATTCAACAGTTGTTATTAGATAATTCTCCACCAAATAGTGACACTGAAGTACTTCCAGCTGAACAAGATCCTCTCACTCGACCAGCTCCAAGCCCCAAACCTAATTCATCTCTAAATCGTTTGGATTTCGGTAATAGTAATTCTTGTCAAGGGTGCCTAAAGAAAGATGTTCTTCTGAGAAAGGTTCGTTACCTACATAAAAAAGAAATAGGCATTTTGAAACAAGAAATAGAAAAAACAAGGAAACAGAAAGATGCCATTAGAAAAGTGTTGTATAGAGTAATGAAAAATAAGAAACAAAACGAGAACATATCGACTGAAGAAAAAGTAGAACAATCAGTAGAAAATGTAGATACAAAAAAGCGTGAAGAAATTAAAAAGAGACTAATATTTGGTGAAATACTTTCAAGAAGTGTTGGTGAAGGGTAAAAGTGCTTGAGGAAAAAAGATAAGAAAGAGTTTTCTAGTGTGGTTATGACCGAAAAAGAAAAGTTTAAAAAATATAAGCTCTTGACACAAACAAAAATATTCACAGTAAGAAATAAAAAAGAAAATAAAATAGCTAAAAGTGAAAGCTTGAAAGAGCAACTAATTTTGGAGTTTTTTGACGATGACGAGATGACTAGAATTGCAGCTGATAAAAAAGAATATATAACTAAAAACCAAATAAGGAAGCAGAAAAGATACTTAACGGACACATTATCTAATCTATACAAAAAGTTTACGAATAATTCTAATGTCAAAGTAACGTATCAAACTTTTTGTAAATATCGTCCATTTTGGGTTTTATTTCCAAAAGAGTCCAGTAGTGCTTGCAAAGTTCATATTAATGTAGACTTGTTGATAAAATGCCTTAACACAAATAAAATACTAAAAGAATCTAACGGGACAGGTGTTTTAGAAAGCTTATGTTGCAACATTTACGATGAAAATTGTTTGAATCGAACATGTGAAAAATGTCAATTGAAAAATTTAGATTACGCCGAATTCCATAATGACAAAAAAATTAAATATTATCAGTGGAGTAATTGCTCCGTAAAATATTATGTAAAAAATGAGGAGAAAACAAAATTAGTAACAAAAAAAGAAACATTTTATGATTTTCCACGAAACATTATTTTTCAATTAGAAAATACTCTTATAACCTACATGAAACACTGCACAAATATTTTGATTCAATATAGAAATATTAAAGAGCTTAAGAATAATCTTACTCCGCAAGAAGTAGTGATTCACGTCGACTTCAGCGAAAACTACTGCGTTAAATATAACGAAGAAATCCAGAGTTTTCACTTTGGTGGTAGTAGAATGCAAATATCACTGCACACATGTGTTATCTACTTGATAGACCCAGAAGTTGGAATTCAAAAACAATACAGCTTTTGCACTGTAAGTGAATGCACCCAACACGATGCTGCGGCTATTTGGGCACATTTGATACCGACCATTGGGTATGTGATGGAGATTTCGACCCAAATTGATACAATACACTTTATTTCCGATAGTCTAACCAGCCAATATCGAAATCGCTTTATTTTTTATATGATCAGCCAACTGTACCGTGATTTTCCACAACTGAAATCTGTGACCTGGAACTACTTAGAAGCTGGACATGGCAAAGGGGCGCCAGACGGAGTTGGTGCTGTTCTCAAACGAACAGCAGATCAAGTAGTCCGCTTTGGCGGTGACGTGGACTCATTAGAATCATTCTTAGCCTGTCTTAGACCTAGAGTGAAGATTGACATTCGCATTGTAACGAGAAATGACATTGAAGCAAGAAGTTTTCCAACAATCTTAAAAGCAGCTAAAGGTACAATGATGGTGCACCAAGCTCTTTGGTCATTTGGGTGCTCTAAAATAAGTTTAAGAAAACTAAGTTGTTTTCAGTGTGGCAATAAAGTTATTTGCAGTCACGGTAAACATATTGGGCATTATAACATTCCATCCTACGAAAACGTCAATATTAACCAATTTCAGAATTTTCTCGATGAGAATACAACACCAGATATTATCCAAGAAATAAGCAACACAGGTTTTTCAGTTACTCAATCTGATCAACCGATTAGTTTCAAAGATCTATCGTCAAACAGACCGTATTCGCAGAAAGTCAAAATATTATCGGATATAAATGTGACTGATTGGGCAAATAGAAAGTTTTATATTGATAAGGAGAATCTTGCTAAAATAAAAAAAACAAAATAATACTTATCAAACAAATTTTGAGAAATTCATTATGTTTAAGGATAGAAATATAGAACAGAACACCAAAGAAAATAAAGACGAAAGTGAACAGAAAAAAGACTGATTGACTTTTGCAACAAATAGATCAGAAAATTTTTTTATTTTTTATTTTAAAGATAAATGTGTTGATAAACCTAAACATTCACTTGTAAAAGTGAGCATTCACAGCTTTTAAATTTTGTCAAATTGAACAACGTATGAAGACAAATGTCGGTACGAACATTTCGTTGATAATGCTAGGGAACACTCGTCAGTTAAAGTAGCAAATGCTCATTAATTTATGTGTAATGTAACATTCACTAGTATTCTCAGGTTTATCAGCATATTTAGAAATATAAGTTTAGTTTTGTTTAAGCCTGATTTTTATTTTTTGCTAAAAAATCTTTTGATTGTTGATTTCGTATTTCCAAAGATTATGGTTAATATAAATAAAGAAACATGACTTAATTTCTAATAAAGGCAAGGAGAAATGATGTTATTGACTATGTTAAATAATATGAACCTTAAATATCTATTTAAAAAATAATTTTAGTACAGCAATTACGTTAATTAAATATTAAAAATGCATATTTTATTATATCATTGCCTTCTGTTTATTTTCATTACCTTCACATCCTTATCCCTTCACTTAACGACTCAATATCATTCCCATCCTTGACGTTCTCATTACCGTATCATTCCGATTATTGATATGATAGTAATTTCATTTTTATCTATACACGAAAGGTAGAAACCACTAAAAGTTTAAGTATTATATATATATTACAGATATTATAAAAAGAAACGAAGTAATTCGACAATAAATTAGCCATTTTGAAATGTCGTGGAATTTGCACGAAATGCGCGAAACACCCTTATACAAGACTAGAGGAGCAAACCACATTACCGCGCGTCGAAAAAAGTGAAGCCACTATCTAACCGCGAGGACGTAGCTTTGAAACCACTAAACCTTTTTAAGTAAACATATATCTGTCTCACTTACACAAGTCACGAAAACAATACCGTCGCTAAGATTAGATAAAGATAGACACACAAACATGCAGTGACGGGTTGGTATTGCCTACTATATGAAATTTTACCCAAAAATAAGCAATAAAAAAGAGTTTTTTTTAAGCTGCAGTTATTTGTTTTTATTTTAAATATGTATCTTTGCTTATCCGATGAATAGAAGTATAACCAATGAAATGAAAAATATTTTTTTTCGAAGTATCTTTTATTGTACTGATAAATCAAACAAAAAAAATCAATTTTGGGTTTCTTAACCAAGGAGATCTGAGTTTGAAATATGCATCAATTCTGAAAGCATCGGCAGGTCTTTGTCTCCTAAATTTGGTCTCATAACATTAGCTGCAAAAACTGTGGTTATTAATAAATTTTTAAGATAATACTAAATGGTGTTAATCTGTCGTACTAATCTGCTTAAATAAACACGGTCGCCATCGCTTTTTGGTCCTAGTTTGTCTTGATCCCGGAAGTGCTTAGAACTAATGAGAGTAGATTTCGAAGGCACCCAGTGAGTCTCCTATCTCAGTAATCGTATTATTTCCACCCACTTAACCCTGCTTAACTTAGTACCCTGCAAAATTATTAATATAAAATAGGTAATAAAATACAATTAATAGATCTCTAGAATAATCTAAAATAAGAATAATTAATTCCTTTGTATAAAGGTTGAAACATTCGATATTTTATTTCATTTTTTTGTGTTTTTAAGTTAATATGAAAACATAAACTAAAACTTACGTGTGGAAAGTGATTCCGCTTGATTAATTATGTTTTTGTGACCTTGAATCGCATTCTTTCACTATGAATTTACCCATTTTTTTGTCGTGAATCGTTCGGCTCAACTCGGTCGGCGTCGCATTGAACACTGAACCGACGTTAGCTGAGCATATGGCTGTGGCCATATGTGAAGTGGTAACGCTTTGGCGCGGCAATTACTTATCTGGTGTAACATATAAATCAATGCGTCCGAACCAATTTTCTACACCTACACTTTTTCCAGTGGGCCTCAGACAGATCTTCTACGGCGTGCTCTGCGGCTGCTAGCTCATATGCCGTCGATGAAAGCTGTAACCCTTTCAGCAGATTTCGACAGAACAGGGTTTTAAGAAGGCTTGCTTAAAAGTTTAACCGGTGTGCTCTCTAGAAAACGCCTCGTTTTGAGTGCTTCATGCGCGGACGCGTTGTCATGGTGCAGCAGTAGCCCGTGGAGCCCCGTGTTCGTTCGCTTGTTGCTCACAACAGTGAACACTGCTGGGAAGCATTTGCGAGTATACCATTCGCCATTGATGTTAATTTGATGGAGTGTCTGGTGACCAGTTTGGTGTTGTACATCATAGTATCATCAAAGTAAAAAGAAATGGCGATCAAAATTGTCACTACGCTTCTCGATCGCTTCGCTTTAATTAAGGTAGGCGTTGGTGGACTCGACTTCTAGACAAAATATCCAAGTGTTATATCTGTAACCCATTCTATATAACAGCTAGGCCATGACATATGGACGGACGGACGGACAGACAGACAGTCAGTGAGGAAAGTGACATTAAAAGGGCTCCGTTTTACCCTTTGGACACGGCACCCTAAAATATTTAGCTAAAATTAAATTAAAGTATTTATTTTCTAAAATATTAGATAACAATTCTACGAAATTATTTCCAGACACAGCCAACTCTTCAACCCGCCGTTACCAGCAGAAAAAACCAACGCAATCAACACCCTTCAGCTCTGCGTGCTCGATAAAATCTACATAGAATTCACCAAGTCCTGGTGGCCTAAAACACCAGCTAACTTCACTCTGCTCTGGCGGGATGAAGACAAAGCTAAGGTCTCCGACGATGAAAAATGGATCACGGAGATCTTCACCCTGTTTACTGTGGAGCACCAGCCGAATTTGTTGCTCGCCTGGATCTATGGGAAAGCGGCCGTGGAAATGGAGAGAGCCAGCTTAGAACAAGTCAAGGCTGGAGTGAATAAACTATTGGGTATATTCATGAAGCAATTCGACGTTACTCCGATCAAGGCCATTGTAAGGCAAGTAATGTTTGTAGGCGTCACCAAGCATAGACCCAAACTGCATTAAGTTATGTCCAATCTAACATAATTTTAATTACGTGGTAGAGCCATGCTGTAGCTCTATTGTGGTTGCAGCACGAATGGGTCGGCTCGACCGGGGTAGGACAACGCGATCACAGAATACCAACGTAAAATAGCAGGTCAATGCTGCTGTGTTTCGTATGGTGAGTGTAGAGAACCGGAGACCCTTTTTAATGGAAACGAGGTACTCCATCTCAGTCCTCAGGGGTGGCGGCGCATCTGCATTTTGATTCTTAATTAAGGATAGATGTAGATGTCTATGGGCCACAGCATCCACTTACCATCAGATGGACTGTGTGCTCGTTTGTCACCCTTTTTCTATAAAAAAAAAATACTACCTACTGAACCACGGGGTTTTAAAAAATTACGGTAATTTCAGATCACAGTGGGCGTCTAATCCATTAGCAAGAGGCTCTTACTCGTACCGTAGTGTGGCCACAGAGCAAGATGGCGGCAGTGCGGAAATCCTAAGCGAGCCGTTGTATCATGGCAACGGCTTTCCGGTTGTTTGTTTCGCGGGCGAAGCAACCTCACACCATAGACATTCAGCCGCACACGGAGCGGTGGAGGCAGGTTTTAGAGAAGCCGATCGATTAATTAGAGTTCTGAAAAAGAATTAACTCTTTATTGGAATTTTGGTGTATTATTTACGTCATAATTGTTACATAATATTGTATTGTTTTTTTAAGTAATTATTTTTAATATCTTCATAAAATGCAAACATTAATATAGTCCCCATAATTATAATATTTTGAGTATATTCCCTATAATTCATAATATTTTGAACATGTTAGCAAAATAATGCTTCCTGCCTTTATTGTAATTTAAATATTTATTGGTAATAACTTGGATTAAAGGTACATATTTTGTAATAAATGTATGCAAATATTAAATGATGGATTTTTATTTTTGTTATAAGGTAGGTATTAATCTACCATGCCTTCCACATCAGAACACAGACCTCACATTGTTAAGATGTATAAAGCGCAAGGAAAATTCTGCCGGCTCATTCCAGTACGCAGTGACTCCAAAGGAAGCTTAGCCCACTCAGCTCACTCGCCGTGGTTGAGGCGAGTGCGTGTCAGTATTTAGCACAAAGACTTGAGGCAAGATGTCAATTTGTTTTTTATGATACCACCTTGTGGCAAATGGCCATTATAGCTCATGGTTACCTGCTACCAATTTTAACGTAGAAAGATATAGGTGCATTGCCACCCCAGCGAACTAAGATGGCACACTAGCACTAAGCACTCTTCGTCTAACCGGGAATATAATCAGGCAACAGAAATAGATAAGTAGGCAATACCTACTATAGCAGCCTCTTGGACAGAAAATGGTAGGCCATATAAGTCTAAGCACTTCTGACGTGTTTGGTAACAATTCGTCGTTGAAATTACTAGCCTACTACTAGCTTGTCTAATTAATAGCTTTTTTTCCATCATAAAATTAAATATATTAGACTTAATGGAAAACTACAAATAAGATTAATTATCTGATTGAAAAAAAGCTAGTAATCGGGGAATAATTTTTTACTTGCTCTCTGGTAATTTTTTGAAAACTTAAGGTTCGCCCCTTTGCGGCGTCAACGACGAATTAGTGATAATTTATAGTATTTTTTTATATATAATTTAAAGCCAGCGCTTAGCTAGAATCCCACCTGATTGTAAGTGGTGATGTAGCCTCAGAAGGTGAAGCGCACTGACTTAATAAAAGCCTATTCATTCTTGCCTTGAATACACCCTACACTGTAATCTGATGGAGAGACAAATGCTGGCAACTTATTCCACTCCTTTGCTGTACGCATGATGAACGATGAAGCAAACCGTTTGATCCGAATACGTGGTAAGTCAACAACGAAAGGTTGGAGACTGACCGAACGTCTGGTTGTCCGATAGTAGAAGTTAGAGGGAGGAATTAAATTATGCAATTCCTGCGCACACTCTCCGAAATGCATCCTGTAGAAAACCGAAAGGCTGGCGGGGTACTTTCTGCCTGTGTTTGAGGCTGGTAAGATATAAACCGCTGGTATAAGGTAACTAAGGAGTGGCAGAACTCAAATGATGCTAGCTTGTAGGTACTATACATACAAGTTTTAAATAATAGCGTTGTTATGTAACCTAGAGCTCCACTAATTTAAAGCTATGCGTGAAGCCCTATAACATTGGTTATAATCTCCTTTCGTTTAAAATGTTTTAAACAAAATAAATATTATAATCGTATTACTTATGAGCTCATTCTACTTGAAAATTGCTTTTAACACAGTTTTTACATTTTGTGATTTTAACATCATTTTATAAGGGACTAGCAATCCGCCCCGGCTTCACACGGGTGATTTCTGGATCTCGACAACAGTGCCACCTACCGGGTCCAATTGTAAATCTAAACCATTATCGAATCAACTTAATCACACACACAATTTCATCAAAATCGGTCCAGCCGTTTAAGGGGAGTTCAGTCACATATACACGGACAGAAGAATTATTTAATATATATGCATGTTATATAGAAACCGTCCTCTTGAATCATTCTGTCTATTGATGAAAACCGCATCTAAATACGTTACGTAGGTAGTTTAAAAGATCTAAGCGTACAGACTTTGTTTTATACTACGTCGAGATAACACTGGTCGATACGATCAAATTAAATCACGATATAATTAATAGAATCAGGCGTTACTTTGCGGAAATCCATTATATAAAAGCTTTAACAACAATTTACTTCGCAAATATCCGCGTTATAAAACAAAATGATGTGTCTTACCTAGTATGAAGAAGCACCTCCCGCCCTCCCTCAATTGCGTGCACTATCCCCGTCACCACTAATCCCAGCACCGCTACTCCCAACACCACTACACTAGGCAAGACACACCACTGACGATAATACGACACGTGTTTCGCCTCTACACGAGGCATCCTCAGGTGATATAGACTCTACGGTGGCTAACCGCTAAGTGAGCGGCGAGCCAAAACAAGTGCCTTTTATACAAGCCGATGATGCAACCGCTCTCTACCTAAGAAGCGAGCGACTGCGTCATGCGATAAAACATGCGACCAATCACCGCTGGACTTACGCAGCCGTTTGTAAAATTAAAGACAAACCGCCGCGCAACGCCCAAATTATTAGAGAGCAGGCTTGAAGATATTTAAGAGAGGTGAGTTAGTAACATTTGTTTGTTCATTCAGCAATGCAACGGTATTATTATTACTTTTTAATATCTCTAACTGTTCCAGCACACACAGCCGCAGCCCTTTATTACACGTATGTAAGACTTTAAAGGAGTGGTCGTTGGCTAGGTTGTGTCCAGTGTCCAAAAGATGTTTGGCAAAATGGGATTTATCGGGATTGCAATTCCTGTACGCGGCTAAATGCTCTTTATAACGTGTCTCGAAATTGCGACCAGTCTGACCCACGTAAACGGCGTGGCATTCGTCACAAACAAGTTTGTAAACACCTGACTTTTGACGAATATCCAACTTATCTTTACTATTACAGATATTTCTAAGAGAATTGTTTGTTTTGAACGCCACATGAACGCCGTTTTGTCGAAGAGTATTAGCTACTTTTTCAGATATGGGGCCTAAGTAGGTCAAACTGCTCACATATCGATGAACACTTTGAGGTTGAACCGCATACAGAGAGTTGCGAATAACATGCTTTTGTTTCTTTTTAATTAAATTGTTAATGAGATTTTTTGAAAAACCGTTAGAGACCGCTATTTGATAAATTATATTAAGTTCTTTTAAATAATTTTCTTTACTTAATGGGACAGTGAACAAACGGTTAATGTAACAATAAAAAGCGGCTACTTTATGTTGCCATGGATGACATGATGACGCGGGGATGACCGAGTCGGTGTGAGTTGGCTTTCGATAAATTTGGAAAACATGTGACGATTCTTTTCTTGTTATTGTTAAGTCAAGAAAATTAAGGGAACAATCTTGTTCCAATTCAAGTTTAAATTTAATTTTGTCATGGACTCTATTTATTTTATTGAGGAAAACATCCAGTTGTCTCCTTGTGCCAGTCCAGCAAATAATTATGTCGTCTACATATCGATAGTAATATAAGATATTTTGATTGACAACTATATGTTGTTTTTCGAAATTATCCATGAAAATGTCCGCCATAAGGGGACTTAGAGGAGACCCCATAGCTAACCCTTCTTTTTGTAGATAGAAACGGTTATTAAACCGGAAATAGTTTTGTTTCATACAGAGAGAGGTTAAGTTAAGAAGATCATTTGTTTCCCCGGGATGTAGACGACGTTTTTCAAAGAGATCTGCGAGTATACGCAAACAGTCAGGGGATGGGACATTTGTGAAAATACTATCAACGTCTAAAGATAACAATATGGATTTAGGAGGAATACGAATATCTTTAATTTTGGAAATGAGATCTAAGCCATTTTTTAGGCTGTAAGTGGGGTTGAATCCAGATTTCTCTCGAAGGAGGAAGTTTAATTTTTTAGCAAGGAAATAAGCTGGTGCACCAATATATGAGACAACTGGACGAATAGGAACATGTTCTTTATGTATTTTTGGTAACCCATATAAAATGGGTGCTTGAGGATTCATTGGAACAAGATTGCTCCGAGACAAGTTGTGATCGGGAAAAACATATGATGACTGTTGTATGCATAACTTAATATCCGAAGTAAACTTTTTGGTTGGGTCAGACTCCAATAGCTCAAAGTCATCACCTTGGATAACATCGTTAACTTTCTGGCTGTACCCACTACTCTCCATAATAACAACAGTATTGCCTTTATCGGCTTTAGTAACAATAAGGTCGTTTTCCCTTATTCTCTGCTTTAGGGACTTAAAAACAGGGAACTCAGGATTGAAATGGGAAGACGCGGGCACAGCCCGAATTTCATTAGCTACCAAACTTTTAACGATGTTATCTTTCTTCCCGGTCACAACAGCCACCTCCGCGTCAACAGCCATAGTCTCTAACGATTTTTGGGAGACCGAAGGTGTTAAATTATACTTTAGGCCTTTATGTAAAAGGGACAACTCATCTGTTGGAAACTGGACACCGGCCGACCAGGCAAGACTCTATGTCAAATTAACAAAACTCCATCGTATTGCTGCCCAAAATGTTTGGTTCAATCAGCAGTGCAAACAACTTCATGTTATTCCCAATTATATTCAAATACGTTCCAGCATAAATAGTCGAGCGGCCAGTATTGCTATTTCTAAAGCTCAGAACATTTGGCTTAATGAGGAGTGTCGTCGTTGGTTTTCCAATAGAGATAATTTAAAAATCCACCTTAAAGTATTATACTCTGAACTTTCATATAAATTACATAATATTGAATTTGATATTTTGGATGGGAAAGCCAGAGAACTTGCTTCAATGGCTGTTTATGAGAAATATCAAATTCAGTCCCGTAAATTACAACGACTTGTATCCTCTTCATCCCGTAATCGTAATAACGATATACATACAGAATATCACCAATTTTATCCCCGAGTTAAAAATCTTTCCGATTTCCAGTTTCCAACAGATGAGTTGTCCCTTTTACATAAAGGCCTAAAGTATAATTTAACACCTTCGGTCTCCCAAAAATCGTTAGAGACTATGGCTGTTGACGCGGAGGTGGCTGTTGTGATCGGGA